TATATAGCATTGTTGAACGTATGTTAGTATTTAAACGGTAGATATAGGCATATTTTTATCCCCTAAAAATTTTTTATGTGTTCGGATTTCCTAGCTGAAAGTCTAGTGATACTAAAATTATAGGGATCAAAACTTAGGTCAACCTACCTTTTCGAAAATTTCAGCCGAAAAAAGGCTTCCGAAAATTCTAGGTGACCTCTTTAGGGTAAAAATCCGTTAAAAATGGGCAATTATACCATTTTTGAGATGTTCGAAAATCCTAGGGGAGGCAGGTAAGCAAGAAATATTACAACAGACGTTCCGAAAATTCTAGATCCCAAATCATCTTTCGAACAGATATTTTCCGAAAATTGACGTTGGGTGCCCCTGTTTCATCAAGTCCATTACGGCTCTTTTCAAGAACATGCGATAAAATCGTCACACCATGCAAATTTCTACTTAAATGTTTGCAATAACAGACACGCGACGTCTTTGGTTTTTAACATATCTTTTTTACTGACTACCAAATCATCAAACACCCAACAAAGCATGGAATAACATAACAACTACGAACAATACTGAATTCGGTAAACTGGAAGCTCCGTCTCATCGCAAGTTATATGCATAAATTATGCAATTTTAAAATCATCACTAGCACATGATAACAAGAAAGCAACACTTTGAGACTGTTCAGCCATGCTTATTTAGTCTCTAAAAGGAACATTAACTCCTTTTTGTCGTGAGAGACCTCTGCTAGCCGAGAAAAAAACAACGAAGTGAACCCGAAAGAACATTCTAACTTAGCTTCTGGGAAATTACTGACAAGGAAGTAGAAATGGCAAGCCTTTCTATGATATTGTTGAAATGTCGGAGGCATTCTTGACTATAAAGATAAACAATATTCCGACAACCTTTCTCGAAATAGCTGTCTACGTTTTCAGTTCATCGTCTCTTGCAATATTGAATTTTTGTCCTTTGTATCCCTGTGCCTTGTGCCTGTGCGTTTATTACCCTTTACAATTCTATAAACACTGCCTGGTAAGCCGAGGTTACAAAATGGTCACGATTTAGTACGTGCATCTCGTGAACTGCAAAAATAGTTGACATTTCTTCACAGTGGCTCTGTATTTTAATACAGAAAAGCTTGCTTGAAAAACAGAAAAACCTAAGTCTTGTTTTTCAGTTTTCTAACTTACAGCGTTCTTGTTATTTTTTTTCCCTCACCCAAAGTACATCTGAGGAATTTTTTATGGGGAACTCAAATGCGTTTAGTTACAAGCTGTTTCACTAATTAAGTATTTCTGGAGTGTTAACTTGCGGAGAAAGCGTTAACAGAAGGCCAACTCAAAATCTGTCACAATTGCTCAAAATTAACCACTTCTCGGGCGAAAGGATGACAATATACCGCAGTTATAAAGAAATACAACGTTTATTAAGCACCCATGTACATATTTAGTGATATATCGCTACAGACGAAGCAAAAACAGATTCTGCTGCAGTGATTTTTGCCGCTTTTAAACAACACTGTTGAAGATTTCACTTCGTTTACATAAGTAAAGGTTCGAGCTCATTTTGACCGTCTTACCTGACTACGTGTACGAAAGTGAAACAACGCGCTTAGTTATTGAAGATCGACAGAAATACCGGATTTTGCAGGATTTGGATCGAGTTCCAAACTGTTTCGAAACTGATGTCAAATACACTACGTATGAATTCCGAATTCATTCGTAATGTATTTTGGCTGCACTGACTTTCTTCCCTTCTGTGCACGTGTATTGTTTATTATTTTTACGCACGGAAATGAAATTAAGAATATTAGCCTTAATTTTCAAACTCATATGCAGTAAAAACACTGGCCTGTGGTTTGTGGTCTTTAAACACTTTTACGTCATTTCTATGATCTATAATAAGGAAGACCAACACATGGTCTCCATCTTGGATTCTACTGAAATAGAGTTGAAATCAACCGTTGTTGTGCCATTCTCTTGTACTATTTGAAGATAAAAAGGATCAAAATCCCGGCACACTTTTGCTCAGTAAAACATGAACATGTGATACTTGTGACGTCACATCTTTTATCAAGAAAACAGAAGTAAAGCACGCGCTCTGATTGGTCAGTTACTGTTTGCTATTTGTGAAAGAGTTAATACTGACGGAAGCTAGTAAGCTCACAAAAGTCGTTTGCGATCGCGTAACAAAAGAATACTATCCACGTTGAGACGACAAAAACTACTTGTTCAGACGAAAATATTTTTTTTAAACGAAAAGACTTTGCAGTGATTTCCCCCCTTCGACTGCACTGAGAGCTGCTGAAAAGATTTTTACAAGGTAAAATGCAGCGTCGGCGCCTATTTCCTTCCTTGTGGTTCAATAATTTTTTTCATATGATTAAAGCCTGCTATCCGTCGAAACGTTTTAAACATTTGTAACGTCGGCATTACCTAGGGCATTCCCTGTTTATAGTCAGGAAATACCAAATGAAACCAAGCTGGAAGTTACACGCTTAACTTCTGGGCAATTGTAACACGGAAGCAAAGGCAGCAATATAAATTTTTTTGTGAAATTGTAAAATATATACTCTTACTACATTTGAAAAGATGAAAAAAAAAAATTGTAGACTTCCTGTTATCAGATCGGATATAGAAAACATACTCCGACTTTTTACGGTGCATGTCTTAATTAAAAAAAAAATCTCCTCCGCTTTTTTAAAGTCTATATAACATTTATACGTTTGCAGTGCATCGTCTTCCTATCGCGAGATTAAATTTTTGTTCTTTTAGCATCCCTGTCTGCAATAAGGCAATTACTACTTCCCTTACCCCTATTGCCTAATGAAAACCTGCTATCCAACAGCTTAAAGGAGGTTAGAAATCTTCCAATCAACAGTGCTTGATTGAAAGAACTGGGAAAACGCTGAAACTGTGATCAGAGATTTACGAACAATACTGTGGAATTGTGCCGTGATTGGACACACTTTTGCCAGGAATCATAGTGTGAACACCTATCCGACTCTTTACTTTAGATATCGGCGTAGCGCAGTTTCGCTCTGTCACAAAAATCCCGCCAAAATCACCGTTCTCGTGTGTGAACAGAAGCCCTATCCAGTATCGTGGTGGCGCAAAAGCTGTTCTGCATAGTGTGAACGGTAAACCTAGCCTAGGTAAAATACTATCGATTCAACCAATGACAAAGCAGGTTCTCAACGAACATTCACCTACCAGTGTAACTCTAACTAACCTAACAGAAAATTAACTATTTACAATCAGCGATTTCTGATTAAATCCAAAGTGAATATAAATTTTCTTTAAGGCAATGGACGTCATTTTACAAATATACATTAACTGAACAAAACTTTTATCATGCCTACCTTCTTGTTTGCCTTTTGAAACCTTGTTATTTATCCTCAAACAGTCCTCACAGCATCGCATCGGGACAGGGACTGACAGTGTGGTATTTTATATGGGAAGATATAACGTGTTCAAATTATGACTGACCATTTACAGGCAATACTTGCTCAGTAGGTTTCAGAGTCGGTTTCAGTTGTCATTAATCAAAGAAGCTTGAGGCATGACGATGCAAATATCAACAACGTTTGCCACTTATTTTCCTGTGCGATTATGTCCTTCCTTACTTAAATCAGGAAGAACTTGAAGAATGTCAAGCCAAACATTGATTTCCGTTTGGTTTTTGAAATTGTATTCAGCTATTTCCAGTCAGCAAGGAGGAATCAAAATCAAACAGCAAACACACCATTTAGCTTGTTTCCCCTCTGGGCAGTTACGTTGTTATGCAAGGAAGTCTCTAAAATGTCAATATTAGCGCGGTTTGATAAGTCGCAATATCAAGTGGAGTAAAAACACTGGCCTACGGTATGTGCACGGTTTTTGTACATTTTTTCACGTTCGTTCTGTGATCTTTAAAAGGAGAGACGATGGAACGATGATGGCCATCGTAAATTTCACAAAAAAAAGGAGATGAAATTTAGCCATTTTGCATTTTTTGAAGAACAAGGATTCTAACAGCCCTCACCTTTGCTCAAAACATGTTTTGAACATACATACATAAATACATACATAGAATTCCATGACAATTGAGTCTATTCCCCCCCGTTTTTCTCGCTGTCTGTTATTGTTATTTGTATATTTCTGTTGTCGAGTGTACATAATGATTTATATTTTTTCAGGATAAAGTGTAGTGTAGCTTCTTTTTATGTTAAGTTGTAACGCCAGTATCAAATTGTAATGTTTATGTAATGATGTGAAGTCATTAATAAAATCATTTTTTGCTTAAAAAAGAATGTTTTGAACATACTGAGCTCTTGCCAAGAGCTCAGTATGTTCAAAACATTTACGGTTGTATAACTTATGACTTCATCACATCACCAAGTAAACTACCGTTTGCACCCCTAGAAATTATTGTTATTGGGGCCGATACTGTTGAGACTTTGAAAGTGTCTAAATACCTAGATTTAACTTCGCCAATGAAATTTCTAGGTTTCATGACAACAAAAAATGGCAACAAAACTGCTGATTTATTCCCAATTGGACAATTTTTCTATTTTCCCCATTTTAGCTTCATTCGTAAACACGTGAAAGGTAGCCTGTTTCAGGCTCCAAGATAGAGGGGAAAGCGGATCGACTAAAACCGCTTGGGGGCTGGGGAGAGACTATTTCACTGTTCCCTAACCAGCTAAAACCACCTTGTTGGCAAAGAAACTTCGTTTGATTGATAGGTACTTGTGCTGTTGCTCCTATGACAACATTTTTCCTTCGTTTGATACTCAATTGTTATTGACAAAGTGCAACAGGTTTTTTTTTATTACAAGTTGCAACAAAGTTACATGGCATTGCATTATTGGGAAGTACAAATTTAACTTGCAATCAGGCAGTTCTTTACAGTGTATTATTTGACATCAGCCAATTTTCTTCGTACTAAACCCTCATCACAGACTGAAAGAACATGAGGCAAACTTCTGTTATCTTATTTCCAATCAACATGATCTCTATCTTTTCTTGTAGCATTTTCTAACCCAGTATGGAAGTTTGATTACATATTCTAGCAAGAAATACCCGTCCAAAAGCAAACTAATTAACGCTGACAGAATTGATGAGCTTGATCAGCAGCTTATCAATCAAACGGATGGTCAATATCGGAAAGGGTACATTCAGGGTTTTACAGTTAACTTTAATCCGGGAAAGTACGATCGCTTCGCCCTGTATTGCATCATGAGATCTGTATATGAAGATTTCAAAAATAGTTTTGAAAAATTTAAGGTACGTTGTGGCTAATACAGCTGTGATATTGTGTTGTAAAATGTGAATGAAATAAAGCGACGAGAATATTGACATATGTTTTGCCGAGGAAAATTCATGTTAATGTTAAATTTGAATTTGTCATATTCAATAGAGAGGAGAGGTCGTTACGTCATGTTGCCATGGTAGCAAAATTTCTCGATGTCAACAAACCGTGGACCTGCAAATATACCACTGAGAAGAAAACCCGGATCAATTTAGATTTCTGAGAAACTGCCTACCTACCCCTCCCCTAAGCCAAAATTTTGCCTTAAGTGAGAAGTAAGTGATAATGTTGGCTTAGGGAAGGGGTAGGTGAGCAGGTTCCCAGAAACCTTAATTGACCCGAAAACCCTTGTTTGACGTTCCTGTGCATGATTGGCATCAGGAACGAAACGGTAGCCCATACTTTTCTTCCATGGTTGGACAATGGAAATGACCGTCTCTGTAACGACAGATCGTTGAGATCAAGACATTTTGCTACCACGGTAACGTGACGTCACACTTCACCTGTCACTTTGACACTTTGAGCTTCCCAGATTTTTGTGTCATTTAACCTAGTGTCTTTTTCAACTCTTAAACCCTTCTCTTCTTGACTTTAGATCTGTGGCTCTTACCTTTTCATGGGCCTCCGATCAAAGATTAAACGGTCGTGACAGCCGTCTTTTTAAGGACTTTGCTTCTTTTGCCTGGATTATTGTCAACAAACTCGAACTGACCCGTAACTTACTCTTTTTCTAAGCTTGCGAACATGCTTTCCTTGAGTTAAGCTTAGCACTGCCCTTTTGGAGTTAACTTTTTCGAGGAGATACCGACTGGAATGGGGGGGGGGGGGGGCAAAAAAAAGCGGGTTTTTTTTTTGGGCGGGGGAAAAAAAACCCCCCGAAATCCCCAGCAAAACCACAAACTCGCAATTTGAGAAAAAAGAAAGAGTATTGTCAAAAAACTGAAACTTCCCTGTTACTTTCTTTTGTTGTGGGCTTGAGAATCCTTTTTCCTTGGGTAGAGCTTGGCCCGGCCTTTTGGGGTTTAACTTTTTCGGGGAGACACCGGCGGGAAGGGGGGGGGGGGGGCACAAATCATGACGTTTTCTGTCATGGCAGGAGGAAAATCATCCCTCGAAATTCACAGTCATACACGTAACTTGCACAGTTGCGAAAAGACAGCAAGGAAAACACTCCGGTTTTTAAAATATGTATTTTCCCTGACGACTGCGATACCGGTGCCTTGCACTTAGCAACCAAGTTAGTATATTAAATTGTATAGGTGCAATTTACGCATACACACAAGTTGCCCTAAATCTCCTCAGCGACGCCAACACCAACCAAAAAGTAGCCTCAAGTCAGCTATGAATTAGAAAGCTGGGAGCCAGGCGGGGCAGAGGAGTAAAAGCCATTATTGAACTTTGAATAAAATCTGAATAAAACAGCTTCTTTGCATGCCTCAAACACAGATCTGCCCAGAATCTTTCATCAAGACTTCAAAACCAACTGAGATTTCAAAATAGGACCAACCGCATCTAACATCAACGGATCAACCCAACTTCTTGCATGACTACTCACCAAAGGCCTCAAAACGAAGCTATATAACATCCCAGCACATCTGAAAAAACCCTAAACCTGAAGCCCATGAAGGCTAACAACGCCAACTGGAAAATTCTCATATGTTAAAATGCACCCCTAGCCGCTTAATATATGTAATAAACCTAAACAAAGATATCATTCCTAAAACTCGATATTATTTCTTTTGCTTCTACTCCTTATAATTAGTATGAATTTTATTATTTAACATCAAAATCGTCCAGATTTAACAGATCGCAACTTTAAATTTTTGTTTTTTCATTTTAATCGATTGGCTAGGAATTTTTTTTTCCGTTTTTCATATGGACATTTCTATTCACCTTTCAATATTCAAATCATTATTGGAAATAGCTTTTATTATACATGCAAATTATTGAATTTAAGTGATAACTTACGATAATTCCACTAAATATTTTTGCGACTTCAAGAAAAATTCAAGACAGGAATCTTTAATATCAGGCGCACACTTATACCAGAAGAAATCGATAACAACTTTGAGCTTAAAGAGTGTGAACCAAGACATCTATTCAAACCCGGATACCACTTAAGTGTGCAAACGACAAGTCTTTTAATACAATACGCCAAGGGAAAGGTTATTGCTTTTGGTCTCACACACCACATTTGCACTCAAATATTACACGAGTTGACGATTGGAGGCACTAACAGAGTTATGACTCACTACATATCAACTCTCACGGCAGCCAATCAGGATGAATCTTCAGTGTCACGTGCCCTATTCAATGCCTTAATTATACTGGTAGATATTTCTTAAGCCCTTCCAGAGTATACCCAAGGTGACGATAAGTCAAATAGGGAAGGCCTTTGAAGAAGGCGTGGCACTAATTTTGACACCTTGTACGTTTTGTTGGTCCAGTCGTTGTAAGTATTACTTGTTAACACAATTTAGAAGCAATTTCAGTGTTATTTTAAAACGAATATAAACATATATAGAAAATGTATAAATTAAGGTAAACGGTACTGGTCTGGCTTTATTGAAGGTAAAACTTTGGCCGAATACGCAAAAGAGAGTCTTTTTGTAACTCAAGAAATTTTTCGAAATTGAAAAGTGAATATCAACGAGGCCAAAGAAAACCAGAATTCAAATTAAATTTTAAACGCAATTAATTTTTAAACGTGTCCGTGTTGGCAGCTATCGTTTAATGACGAACAGCTGTATCATCAACCTAGTTATTTATAAGCCGACAAGGTGCCGATATAGTGGGAAAAAAAATCCATTAACAGACACAGAAAAGAAAGTAAGTTCTTAGTAAAACTCAAAATCGTTGAATGCCTACGAACCATCTTTATGAGCTGATCGTCCAAAAGAGGTTAATCTCCCTCTCATATTAAAACAAGTTTAAAAGCTTCAATTTCTATTACTATGAACAAATACAACGCCTTTTTTTGTCAATACTCGATTGACAGCGAGACTCTTTTTTACACAGCCTTAACCTCGAATAAGATTTTACTGCACACGCGAATTTCGCCGTTGAAAAATTGTGGGAATTCCTCAGAATTTTTTGGTCGGGGTGCGCGCTGTTAACGCTGTCAGTAACACACTTTAAATCATCTGCGTGTTAAAGTACGGGTGCTATAGTTCAAGAGTTTTAAAACATTTCCTATCTCTTCTCTTCAAAGCATATATTTGACACGTCTTAAACGACGGCAACGAACGTTATTGACTTATTTAAAACTAATTAATAATTCATAACTAGACTATAGAAAACGCTACTCTTGCAAAGGAGGACTATAGTATTTTCATAAGAAAGGCATCGATCAGGATTTTGAAGCTACTACAAGCACTTATCAATTAAAACAGCTGTTACACAGTGCGAACCTGTCTACAACGGTCACCTTAAAGACATAAAGATAAGTGGTCGTTTTACAGAGATGTCGTTTTAAAAACCTTTAAAAAAAAAAGAAAAAAAAAAGCTTATCAAAAGCATATTAACATCAACACAATCAACAAATGTCAATAAACAAAAATCATGTGTTAAAAAAACAAAAAACTAACCAAAGCGATTTGAGTAAAGCGAGCATTAATTCGAAGATCGTTCACTTTTAAAAGGCCATGTGTGGTGAGGTAACGTTAAGACAGTTGCTCGCTATTTTAAGGCCCGAGGCCGTTGTGAAGAGATGGCCGCATATTTTAACTCTGATAAAAGCACATTAAAAACATTCGGCTTCCCTTCAGTTGCTTCGTTATGTTTTAAAATAATGGCGCTCAAACGGTGAGCGTGTTTAGCCGCGACAGTTATATTCGTACTATTCGTACTAGCTCCCCTTGTATACGTTGTGGTTCAAGGAGTTGGTTTAAATTTTATTTTCTTTTGTTTCGGGATATGGTAATGTATGATAATGAGTTTGAAACAAAAGAAAATTAAATTTAAACCAAGGATAAAATTGAACCATAATCGAGACACAACCACCGCTGAAAAAATCGTTTACCACTAGTTTACAACTCGTTAAATAACGAAGAAACTCGCGCCTGTAGCACATAGCTTCTCTGCTGCGAAGATATTGTTGTCCAGTTTATTCCCGTTTCACCGTTTTTTCCCCTTTCCTCAAAAACCAACATTCTAACCTGCGCAAACACAAAAGCCATACCAGATAGGGATTCCGCTGATACAAAAGAACGAAGATTTCTGTATAGCAGTAAAGGTCGCGAAGCTAGCCTATCGGATAGGGCTCTGTTACTCTATCTTCCGTAGCGGAAGTTAATGAGTACGAGCGGGGATTGGAACCCAGAGACGGAAGTAAACCTTTAGACCCTCCCGAGTCCCTCCAGGCCAAACGCTCCGGTACGATGTTTCGATGGAAGTGAACGACTTGCTACAGTTCTGTGACGTTCCCTTCCATACTTAATCGGATAGCTACCCGGTATAGTCCGTGTGTAGTCCTTAGAGGGCCACAGGTTTGTCGGTTCTTGGATTTGTATAGTCCTCTTTGAACAATGTTGGTCAGTTTTTAATTTTGCGTCGGTTCTTGGATTTGTACAGTCCTCTTTGAACGTAACAACGTTGGTCGGTTTTTAATTTTTCTAGACAAAAGAAAAGGCAACGCTCATCATGAATCGCTTGATTTTACTGATTTTCGTGGTGAACATTGGCTTCTGTCTGCTGGCTGAGGGCTGGAAGAAGGGACGGAGACACAGGAAAAGGGAAGTAACGAAATTCATGCACGTATCAGATGTACATTTCGACTTGTTCTACAACCAATCAATTAGCGAGGACACCAGTTGCCGCATCCTCGGAGACCCAGGGGCAGTCAGTCGGGTCGAGAGAAAAGGCGCGACGAAAGTTTTCAAGTACGGGCGAAAGAGCCCCTGGGTACCGACTCTTAACGAACCATTTCCAAAAATTCAAACGGATGCCACCTCCTGATTGGGCACAAAAAAACCTTTGTATTATTGTGCCCAATCAGCGAACAGCATCTCCTGAGTTCTTTTCATGTGTTCGTACACGACGGCTATTATCTCGCCATACTTGTCTGGTTCGTTCACCAAGGTTGTGCGTGCATATTCGCAAGGGAAACTTTCACTTTCTGCNCATCCTCGGAGACCCAGGGGCAGTCAGTCGGGTCGAGAGAAAAGGCGCGACGAAAGTTTTCAAGTACGGGCGAAAGAGCCCCTGGGTACCGACTCTTAACGAACCATTTCCAAAAATTCAAACGGATGCCACCTCCTGATTGGGCACAAAAAAACCTTTGTATTATTGTGCCCAATCAGCGAACAGCATCTCCTGAGTTCTTTTCATGTGTTCGTACACGACGGCTATTATCTCGCCATACTTGTCTGGTTCGTTCACCAAGGTTGTGCGTGCATATTCGCAAGGGAAACTTTCACTTTCTGCTTCCCTAAACAGAAACGAAGGAACTATCGATGACTCGGAAAAACGTTTCGGATGACTATTCCCATTTGCGACAGGAAAATTCTGCTTCTGATCATCAGAAGGTATCGTAAATAACGTAAATAGAAGGCGTGATCGATAAAAGCTTGAATTGAATACGTCTTGAAAGCTCAAGCTTTAAAATACCCTCACATGCGTTTCCATGTGTTAGTTTTCGGAAAGACAGTATTTTCAAATAGACGGGGATGTTCTGTAACTGAAAGTTTTCTGATTGCGTGCATTTCTTTGATGAACGAGCCAGACAAGTATGCACGCACGCATGCATTCCCACAGGTAAAGTATACATGCATATGAAGAAGGCCTAATAAATTACCCGCGATAAGTAGGTTACGCTACGCAATTGTGATTTTCGGAGAATCATGTTAGTAGTTAGCTTTTAACCGATGACGAACATAAGTGTGGTTGTGAGTTTTTGGATTAAAAAAAGAGGAATATTAGTGGCGAATTTGGAAAGATTTACCAGGCTGTGTTCAATGAAAATTTAAGTGAAAATGATGCTCTGCCTCGTGCAGTTTGTGCCAGCTGCAAATACCAAATTGAAAAGGCATGGCAAAAGTCAAGAAAAGCAGAAGAACAGTCATTTCAGTACTTGTCATTGTTAAAAAGAAAACTCACCCAGTCTCCTTTGTCATCAAGTTGTGGTGACAAGCTAACAAAGCACAAGAAGAGCTGGATAAATTCAGTTTAGATGCGCATTCTTACAATTTTTAGGTCAAGTCAAAAATTTATTCGAAATAGTTGGTTCAGTATGGCCACATAAGGTTTCTCCTAAGAGATTACTAAGGACTACAATTTTAAAAGATGGATACAACTCTTTTTCATTTGACCCCACAACAATGGCCTCAAATGCATGCCCTATACTATTAGTAAATAGGATATTATGTTAGTTGGTTGTCATTACAAGTTTCCCTAATCCCTAATAGTGTTACACTCAGTTACAAACAGCCTTAATTTTGGCTTCTTTTACCTTAAAAAGATGAAAAAATTTGTTGGCCAGACAGTGCAAGTGAGTCATTTTAAATTTTCAAAACCTAATAGTGGCTATCAACTCTCCTAGCCAATTTTCTTACTGTAAAGAGGAAACATTCTCTCATGAGTGACATGACAGATGTACATTATAGGTGTTGGTCTTCTCTAGTAGGAAAGGTACAGTTTCCTATATCTGCAGAAATTAATTGCATTGCATGTACTTAATGTAAGCTCTCAGGTGGTCAAAATGTCACAGTATATACAGTACATTGTATACTGGAAGCAAGGATCATAAAGCCTGCCACAATGTTACCTCCATCATAATATTGTCTTTGTGATGTTTTGCTACCCACTAACTCAAAACCATGGCCAGTTTTTTTTTAATCATGCTCCTTTAATATATCTTTTTTGAAGTGGACAGTCATAGTTAGACCCCTATCAGGAATTGCTAAATACTATGTTGTAGTTGTCTACTGTTTCCGCATTTCTTACACAAAATTATGTACATTTTCATGCCTAATAGTGTTCTTGGAATTATTCAATATCTTATGATTATACAGGATGGAAAGGAGCCATTCAGAAAGTGGGGTGGTCTTGTTGGTGAGATCAGGTCTTTTTTGCCAAAGCAAGTTTCGTTTTTAGCACTTACAGCCACTGCTTCACCCTTGACCAGAGATAAAATCATTAAAAGTTTGAGTTTAAAGAAATGTCTGGAAATATCAGTTAGTCCAAACAGAGAGAACATCAAGCTGCTTGTTTTGAAGGTTACCAGTGAAATTTCTGTCAACTTTACATGGCTTGCCACGGCGTTAAACGAAAAGAACATTGCATGTCTGTGGACATTACTGTATGTCCGAGACTATAAAACATGTGGTGAGCTCTACCAATTTTTCATGAGCAGTTTGCTGGACAAGGCGTACCACCCATATGGTGCTGAAAAGAAGTGTACAAGCCCTTAGAATGGGGGTAGACATATTAAAAGGGTTTACACCATGTTATAAACTATGGTCCTCCCCCTGACCTAGAATCATATGTTTAAGAAATGGGAAGAGCTGGTAGAGATGGTGCATATTCAGAGGCAGCATTACTCTGAGTGTACAGCATGCATTCAAAGTGTATGATTGTCTTTCTGAGGTCTTTACAGACCTACAACAAGAAAGTCTGGAGCAGTAGTTAATATATAATTTTACTTGTCAGGACTTTCCGTATCAATGCCTTTCATCCACATATGCTGTGTATCTTGATAATAACAGTATATTTTGCAAAGAATAATGACTTTTCTAAGGATATGATATTTCAATACCTACAGCTGGATTTGGCTTTGATATGCCCTCCTCTTAAAGAATTTGACAAAATGTGTTTTTCTGTGGGACATGGGGCTGTTCCGTTAATATAAAAATTCAGTTTTTTTTTTTTAAATTCTTTGTACCATTTGTTCTTGTTTTGAATGAAAGACCGTGAAAGGTGGGTCCCTGTTATCAGCCAGTAGGGACAGAGACTGATAGAAGTCAGTGATTGATTTGACTTGCATGGTTTAAGTGATGCAAAATAGCTCTTACAGTTTTAAAAGATCACTTTCCTGCGTCAATGCTAGAAACTAGCTTTTTCATTTGCCCCTACAAAGTCAATTAATAATTTTTTCTTTCTGACAGATTTTTAAGAAAATTGGCTTGGAGAGTTGATAGCCACTATTAGGTTTTGAAAATTTAAAATGACTCACTTGCACTGTCTGGCCAACAAATTTTTTCATCTTTTTAAGGTAAAAGAAGCCAAAATTAAGGCTGTTTGTAACTGAGTGTAACACTATTAGGGATTAGGGAAACTTGTAATGACAACCAACTAACATAATATCCTATTTACTAATAGTATAGGGCATGCATTTGAGGCCATTGTTGTGGGGTCAAATGAAAAAGAGTTGTATCCATCTTTTAAAATTGTAGTCCTTAGTAATCTCTTAGGAGAAACCTTATGTGGCCATACTGAACCAACTATTTCGAATAAATTTTTGACTTGACCTAAAAATTGTAAGAATGCGCATCTAAACTGAATTTATCCAGCTCTTCTTGTGCTTTGTTAGCTTGTCACCACAACTTGATGACAAAGGAGACTGGGTGAGTTTTCTTTTTAACAATGACAAGTACTGAAATGACTGTTCTTCTGCTTTTCTTGACTTTTGCCATGCCTTTTCAATTTGGTATTTGCAGCTGGCACAAACTGCACGAGGCAGAGCATCATTTTCACTTAAATTTTCATTGAACACAGCCTGGTAAATCTTTCCAAATTCGCCACTAATATTCCTCTTTTTTTAATCCAAAAACTCACAACCACACTTATGTTCGTCATCGGTTAAAAGCTAACTACTAACATGATTCTCCGAAAATCACAATTGCGTAGCGTAACCTACTTATCGCGGGTAATTTATTAGGCCTTCTTCATATGCATGTATACTTTACCTGTGGGAATGCATGCGTGCGTGCATACTTGTCTGGCTCGTTCATCAAAGAAATGCACGCAATCAGAAAACTTTCAGTTACAGAACATCCCCGTCTATTTGAAAATACTGTCTTTCCGAAAACTAACACATGGAAACGCATGTGAGGGTATTTTAAAGCTTGAGCTTTCAAGACGTATTCAATTCAAGCTTTTATCGATCACGCCTTCTATTTACGTTATTTACGATACCTTCTGATGATCAGAAGCAGAATTTTCCTGTCGCAAATGGGAATAGTCATCCGAAACGTTTTTCCGAGTCATCGATAGTTCCTTCGTTTCTGTTTAGGGAAGCAGAAAGTGAAAGTTTCCCTTGCGAATATGCACGCACAACCTTGGTGAACGAACCAGACAAGTATGGCGAGATAATAGCCGTCGTGTACGAACACATGAAAAGAACTCAGGAGATGCTGTTCGCTGATTGGGCACAATAATACAAAGGTTTTTTTGTGCCCAATCAGGAGGTGGCATCCGTTTGAATTTTTGGAAATGGTTCGTTAAGAGTCGGTACCCAGGGGCTCTTTCGCCCGTACTTGAAAACTTTCGTCGCGCCTTTTCTCTCGACCCGACTGACTGCCCCTGGGTCTCCGAGGATGCAGTTGCCGCAGCACGGAAGGATTCAAGATAGCAGATTATGAAGCGCCTTATGGGAGAATTGGATGTGATTCACCAGAGTGGCTTTTGGAAAGTACCCTTACTGCTATGAAGGAAAAAGGAAAAGACGCCGAGTTTATATTATTAACTGGTAAGAGCGGCGTAAAAGCACACAAATTAGAGACCTTTAGCAACAGGTTTTTCATGCAAAACCGCAAACCTAAGAATGTCACGTGACCACGGTCTTGCGGTCGCTTTGCAGTTCACGTCTGAACGGCAGAAGGGGCGTCCAGTGGTAAGTGACTTACGGCAAGGCTTTTTGCCACTAAAAATTATACAGCCTTACGTTTAAAGGCACGAAGAAGCTTTCTTTATCCGCCTTATGAACGCCTTGTTAAAATTTGAAATCCAGGCAAAGTGAAACTGCAAACGCGTAACTGCAAACTGCAGTTTGCAGTCTCCCATGAAAAACCTAATGCTAAAGATCTCTGTTGGGAAGGAAACGTGCAACAGCGAGTGAACATTTCTGGCTATGAGCTCAGTGTTCGTACTGTAAGGTTTAGGCGACAAGGAGGAGACGCACTTTACGCAGAATGAAGATATGAAACCCATGCGGTAACGCCGTAGTGATTTCTGTCTCAGCGAGCAGAGAATCTGTTGGATCTGGTTCGACTTAATGGCTATCAAATTTTCTGGCATTTTGGTCTTGACTAGACAGATTGCATGTCAGAGAAATGTGTAGCAAGATTACACATCGACTAAATATTGCGTCATCCACACTCTAATTAACTGAGTTGATAAGGTGTATTTACTTACACTACTTAAACGAAGAACCACAGTTACCTTTCTTTAGCATTCTGTATTTCAAAATAAGCTGGGAATTAAGCGGCAATCGCAAGTTTAATATGTATTACTTTATGGTTGAGATTATTATCAACTACAAATATTTCTCCGTTTCTGACTGGCTATAATCTCTCGGTTTATCCTTCGTAACTAATTGGCTATGACCAAATTTGGTTAGATTAAACTATTATTGACGTCAGTCACTTAGACGTCGATGATTACACGTATACTGCAATTACACCATCATCGACGTCACGCAAGACAGCAGCGCGGAATCCTAGCTGTTTTGGCATGAATGCAACACTCACAAAAATTCTCCAACCTGACGAAGAGCTTTACGTGGAGGTAAGAATGTTTCAAAAGAACTTGGAAATATTTTAAATAAGATCAAACAATTATCATATAGTTGAATTTCGCTCTGGTATGATATGAAGAATTACGCAGATCTCGACTGAGGCCGACAGCCCCCTCGACCTGCACAATTGTTCATTAGGTGAACATCAACTTCATTCAATAATTGTTTTAAAATTGCGTTATTTTATAGGGGACTTATCTGCTCACGACATGACCGATGATCAAGGATCTCCAAATGTTTTGAAGGCCATTCAGACAGTCAGCAGCAAAGCCCATGAAGTTTTCCCAGACATTCCAATCTTTCCAGCCTTCGGCAACAATGATATCCCTGGGCATTACGTTCTTCCTATAAATCGCTCTGACCCATGGTACGAGACCGTGTTAACTTACTGGGCGCCGCTGATTCTTTGTCCTGGTTGCCCGAAAGATGTTCAAAGGCCTACTACAATGGACGCGCTGAAAAAAACTTTTCTGGATGGTGGTTACTATAGCGCGAACATTGCAGGTTGGTTCATTGTCCATTGACACCTTCAATCGAGTAGGGTGCTTCAGAGGTAAATCTTAGAGACTTCACGCGTAACACCGTGTGTCACTAGATTTTCTTCCACGCGTTTGATGATTTAGTTCTCGGTGTTTGAATATCAGATGAAACACTCCTTCTCGTGTTTGATGTATTACTTCTCGGTGTTTGGATACCAGATAAAACACTCCGCCTAGTGTTTGGTATATTGCTTCTCAGTCTTTGGATATCACATGAAACACTCCCCCTCGTGTTTATTGCTTGACTTCTCGGTGTTTGGATATCAGATGCAGCACTCCTTCTCGTGTTGATGTCTCAATTCTCGGTGTTTGGATATCAGATAAACGTCTCCTCGCGTTTGATGTATTACTACTTAGTGTTTGGATATCAGATAAAACACTACTCGTGTTTGATTCATTACCTCTCGGTGTTTGGATATCAGATGAAACAATTCTCAGTGTTTAGATAGCAGGTGAAACACTCCCAAATAGCTTGCCGTCTCTTCCCGGATTTAAGATTTCAGATGAAACACTCCTTCTGTTGTTTCAAATATTACTTCTCAGTGTTTTTGGATATCAGATGAAATACGCCTCGTGTTTCACTATCGGGTATTACTCTCCATCTCATCTAACCTAGGTCTTCCATTTTTTTTACCTGCTCTGTTGCTTTTCATCTCTAGATGGCAAAATGGTTGTGCTCGTGCCAAACGCCATGTACTGGAATAACAATTGGCAAACCTATCCTCTGTGGGACGAGATAGCCGAAAGGCAACTGCAGTGGCTTGCGGAACAACTGGCGCTGGCCAAAAACAAGGGCAAAAGAGTTCTAATAATGAGCCACATACCACCTGGGTGAGTTTTTGTCACTGTCTAGCTGTAGTCACAGTGGAGAATTAAAAATATATAAATAGTCCTACTATAAAGCCATGTGACAATGCGCCGTGATGGTTTTGCAAAATTTGCAGGAAAAAAAACCAATAAATAAAAAAGTTCTGGTTGGAGGGAAACGCGTTAGTTCTTGTCAACAAAAACGACCGTAGTAATGTCAGCTTCAAATCCAGCAACTTGTGAAGAAAAAGGATGAATAGGGTGATATGATAATATCATTGAGAGGTTTGAGCTAACTATCGAACAAGGAGGCCTAGCCAATCACTATATCATGTGCCGTTGTAAACTTGATGAACATAACCGTTTAGCATGCGTGAGAGGAAAGAGAAGACGCACCTGTCGGAACGTGTGACTCGAACAAGCAACGGCACGACAATCGACGAGTCATAAACCTTTCGCAGGAGGAAGCTCTGGAGCAAATTCAGACTTAGCAGTCTCGATAACAGTCATCTTTACAGTTAATTAATACAGTCAACTCTCTCTTAACGGACACCCCTATAAGACTGACACCTCTGTAAAACGGACACCTAGAGTTGGTCCCTGCTTTTCTTTGCTCCCTTTATTTGACTCTCTATAAGACGGACATCTCTCTAAGACGGGCAGCTAGTGCTGGTCCCAAAGGTGTCCGTTTTAGAGAGAGTTGACTGTAGACCTCTTCAGCTTTTATGTTTTGTTTTCAGGTCATTTCGTACAGGTCATGTGACAATACTCGTGAAAACTGTTTCTTTCAAATTTGGTCTTATTCACGTACATATTTACGCATAATTTCTGAAAAAAACAAAAAAAAATCGACGAGCTGTAATAAGAGCACAAAAGCTGAAAGTAAAACAACTAAACAAAAATTAATGGGTTTATTATCGTTACGCAGAGGCGATCCGTTTAACTATAATTACTTCTGGATACCCAAATACACCGAGCGATATGTTAGTCTTGTTGCTGGAAAATACCACGACGTAATAGCAGGTAAAAGACATTTTTTTTAACCTAACCTAACCTAACCTCACCCAGACCCAGAGACCAAGGGACAGTCAGTCAGGTCGGGACAAAAGGCGCGACGTAAAGTTTTCAGGCACGGTCAAGCGAATGCTGGTTCCTGATTGGGCACAAAAAATGTTATGTATTGTGCCCCATTGGCGAACAGCATATTTTGAGTTATTTTCGTGTGTTCGCACACGACGGCTACTGTCTCACCATACTTGTCCAAAAAATCTGATAAACGAGCGAATCCGATCGCCTCTACATACATATATACATACTACAACTTTGATTAAACTCAGTAAAATCATTTAGTAATTTACAACGTTACAAATAAATATTTTAGTTAAAAGAATATATCTGTGGCAATACATTCACTATTTTACAAGGCTGTCGAGTGGGAAACCGATGATTGAATCACTCGATTATATTTCCCTTTTGAATTGCCCTGTTGACTTGATGTTTCTAACATACTCTGGTAAAGAACTCCATAATTGGGCCCCGCTATAGCTAAAGCTACGCTTTAGATAATTAGTGTGTGGCTTAGGCAAAGTTAGCTTACCGCTCGAGTTTCGTAGATTGTAATATGAACTTCGTTTATTGAATAAGTCCGTTAAGTACACTGGGGCTAGTGCATGAAGGGACTTAAACATCATAACTGCCTTTTGTTTTTGCCTTCTTGCTAAGAGTGTATGCCATAGGTATATAGGGTAATTTTGGAGTGGGCGCTTGGTAGAGGTTAGAAGCGCATACTCGATTTAAATCGGCACGGGCTGGGGCTTATTAGAAGGGGGCTATTAAGAGGGGCTGGGGGCTAACCAGAGGCCATAATGTAAGTGTCTGCTAGTCATCTAGAAACCTTCTTCTATCCGTCTTTCGGCTACTATGCGATCTAACTTTACCATGATCATTCCCAGCAAGAGAATTTCGCTTTCGTTTCACTTCCAGGACAGTTCTACGCCCATACGCACAAAGACGATTTCCGTCTTCAAATCCTCAACACTGAAGACGAGAAAACGTCCACAAAATCCTTTGTTTTACAAACTGCCTCCGTATCGCCCATCTACTCAAATAATCCCGCCTTCAAGGTGTTTACCATGAGGACAGATATACAGGCGCTGGTCGATTACGATCAGCATTACTTGGACTTGGAGGTAGCCACAGGTATGCAAATGTTACTTGACTTTTCGCCACATGTAAGGTAATCCAAGACAGTCTTGAATTCTGGTTTCCACAATGTAGATTCCGGATTCCAGTTCCTGGATTCCATGTTCCAGGTACCGGATTCCGGATTCTTTGTCAGTGGAAATGGAATCCGGATTCCAATCGTTAGCGGATTCCTGATCCCTTGAGCTGGATTCCGGATTACAAAGCCCAGGATTAAGGATCCCATGGGGAAAAATTTCCCTGATTCTGGATTCCATGAGCAAAACTTGCCCGGAATCCGGAAGCCGGATTACCTTACATGGGGAGGATCACTATACGTTTCCGGGAAACTGCCCACCTACCTCTCCCCTATGCCAACATTTTGCCCCAAGTGAGAGGTACGTGTTAATGTTGGCTTAAGGGAGGGGCAGGTGGGCAGTTTCCCAGAAAAGTACAATGACCCCATGGGGCGAGACTTTCAAAACTAGTAGTAATTACAAATCAGAGGAACACGTCCGACAGGTAATGATTTTACTGCATGATAAGTCACGTGTTTTTTGGGTACACGAGGCTAAAACGTCAGAGCGAGGTATAAAATGAATACCAGTTACCAGCCACGAAAAGCTCCTGAGATAAATTTTGCGGGGACAGCTTAAGTGTTCTCAAAAAGAGAATACGGAGACTACTTTGATGAAAGACGATATTAGGACTGCACCCTTCAGACGCAAATGGTAGGTTTGTACTGAAAAGCTACTGGTCAAGGAGTTTAACCCGCATAAAAATTGTCTTCAAACCGTGTTAGGAATTGACCAACTCAAAACGACGTTTTAAACTGAATGTGAGATAGGGATCAGCAAAGGTTACGAAAGAAAACAATAAAATGTGTGGGCCTGCATCGCTGTTTTGGAAAGGCAGTATACCTGTGTTTCTTAGTCGAAATTCTACCATCATATATACAATTAATAACCACTAGATTCTTGTAGTGCCCCGTGGTGAAGCAAAGCGTTAATTTGCCTTCTTGCACCACGTTGTGTTTGCCTTTGATGCTCATCCTTTGAACCATTATCCAAGAACTACGAGTACGCTTAGGTTTCACAGCGCTAATTTAATTAATTTTGTTTTTGCAGAGTTCTCTAACCCGGTGTGGAAATTTGACTACACCTTTAGCAAAAAATACCCGTCCAAAAACAAACTGATCAACGCCAACAGAATTGATGAGCTCAGCCAGAAACTTATCAGTCAAACCGATGCTCAGTATTGGAATGGCTATTTCATGGGCACAACAGTTAACTACTTTCCGAGCCACTATGATCGCTTTGGGCTTTATTGTATCGTGAGATATGTCCTAGAAGAAGATTTCCATCGGTGTTACGATAACTTTAAGGTGCACAATTAGTTGTCCTCTAGGCCGAGGAATCGATATCAGATAAAGTAGGTATTATAAGTTCGGATGTGACCATGTATTACAAAAGAAGAGAGAACAGAATCAATAAAAAAAACCACTATTTTCTATGGTGAAAAAAAAAAATGCGAGTCATATATGAGTTAACCAAAGAAGAGGGGTGTTAAGATACACGTGAAAATTTGGAGCTAATGCAACTTCTCCCAATCCCCGCAACTCACTTAACTATCACCTCCATCATCTCCCATCACCTACCCCTCCCCTAACCCAACATTTTGCCCTAAGTGAGAAGTGAGTGTCACCTTGATTTAGGGGAGGGGTAGGTGGGCAGTTTCCCAAAAACCTAAATTGATTTTCATAATCTCTCTTCACTGTTTTCGGTCCCGTTTTAGATTTTAACATTGTCACGTTTCAAGTTTGAAATCTGCAGTTTTTTACTTTTCTGTGTGAGCGTTATAACTAACAGCTGGGAAATTAAGTGGATGGATGGATTAAACCTTTATGATCAGGAACATTCGTACAGATACGCTATTATTTTCGTCTTTTCTACTTCATTCAAAGGCACAACTTTAAATTTAGATTTAAATACTTACAGTAATTATCCTTTCCCCTTATGGGGTTTTCAAGGACAACGAAGCAAATTATTCCAGTGGAACATAACATGGTTAAGAATCCCAACTGGTAGGAGACGAACCAGTTGGCTATTTGCAAGCATGGCCAAGAATTTAAGCTCGGAACTACCTAGAACAAATCCAGCTAGCGATCAGGGCGTGACTTGAGGGTAAAAGTATACCTGCACTTCAGATAGAGAAGCAACTTATTTTTATTACGACTGTTAATTAAAAACACGGGAAAACTTTCACTTTGAGAACACACTTCTCCCCTGCAAGGACAGATGCTTACTATGCATTTCAGCGCACGCGTACGGTCGTCTTGCTTGCTCAGTTATTAGACAAGCACGCGCAAAGAAAAAAAATTTGCACCCCCCCCCCCCCCCCCCCGGGGGACGTGTACAAGAGAAAAAGGCAGTTGATGTAGACAAGATTATCCAGAAGACTAGAGCAGTCAAGTCTCTTCGAGAGAAGTCGCGATCTCGTCAAGTCGCGATCTCTTCAACGAGAGATGCGGCCGAAGAGGGCCAGAACAGTGTATTTATGCGCACTTCAGCTCTAGCAATATTAGAACCAAATAGCAACCAACTACCAGATCCCTGGGGGTATGAAATTCAACGTAGGGTAGAGGTGTGCAAACCACATTCAAGGGAAAAATTCCTCATTCTTCCTTCGTAACCTTTGATTCCTGCCAATGATCTATGGCAGACAAGTGTCATTCATGATGCAGGTCGGGTGGCGAAAAGTCCCATGGAAATATTCGTTATTTCCTTAGGTACACTCTAAATCGAAATATCACATTAAAAACTACGCCACATTTATGCATTGAACTTGAAGACCCTAGCCTACTTTGTGACATATGTCCGTAGAGATTTTACACGACAGAAGCCCCAACTGCCCACGTTAGACAAACAAACTTAGTCTGACCCATTCACTAAATAGCTAGCTACACTGCCAAGTTTTTCAATAGCTTCAATTTTCTGTTGAAATTCTTCTCTTTCTTGTCGAAGTTTTTGGCGATCTTCATCCAGTTGTCTCTGTTGGAATGTAAACAAAATGCGAAAATGGGCTAACCACTCTTTCAGAATGCTAAAGGGCATGCGGTTTTATTTAAGTAAACTGTAAAACGTTTATTAAATAAACAGCACGTCTATCGGTTAAGTCTTAAAATTAGCAAGTGGTTTAGTTTTTTGCAAATCTGTCTCGTCTGACCACACCAACATCTAACCTCGTGCCCAGGCCTTTTTCTTGAGGGAAAAGCCCTGGGCACGAGGTTGACCACCATCGCTCTAAGGGTAAGAGACAACGGTACCGCAATTTACCAGACCACCGCCGACCAAAGAAGAGGAGAAACACTGGTACCGATACCTTATCTATTTCCAATTGTTTTCTTTCTTCTTGAAGTTCTTCTTTCCGCGCATTTATCCACCCCTCGTTCTGTATTCTGTGCTTGTCAATCATCTCTTCCAACTCCTACAAGAAAGCGTAAAGGATTAAGATAAGATTTAACCAGACATTACGCCTTCACCGCTTGGCTGAGGGGTGGGGGAGACAATATACAGAGCGTGCGAGCTTATACGAAAGTAACATCGGACTTTGCACAGAATGAGTTGTAGCCTGCGAACTCAAACGCACTATTCCTCTAAATGACGCTAAAAAGGAAACTAAGATTTTTCCCTAGAAGTGCCAGCTAAATACAGGTTCACTTAATGTCGGAAATAGAGTATATTACATGGCCGCTTGGAGATACGAAACTTCTCTTCGAGTGTTTAAATATAATATATTTTCAACACGAGAAGAGAAATTTCGTATCTCCAAGCGGCCATGTAATGTTCTATTTATTATATAAACACCAGTGAAATACCAAACCATTTCAATTTATTAGTTTTTTGGTGTGAAAGTCGCGATTTATTATGTAGCCATAGAAACGGTGATATTTTCACATGTGAAGGTAATATGTTATTTTTATCAAGTTTTCGCGCGAAAGCTCACCTGGTATTTCATTGGTGTTTATATAATAAAAAAGTATATTTTCCTCTGGACGTTCGGGTAAAAATAAATGTGCTATATTGCACAAAGACAGTTTTACCTTTTGCTGTTTCTCGAATAATTCAATGTGCGCTCTTTTTTCTTCTTGAAAAGCCTCTGCGGCGTTCTTCAACGCTTCTTTTTGCCTACAAAAGGAGAGCAAATTAGTCACGCTTCAACTCTGTGACTGTAAAGGCTGCGTTACTATACATCACGGATCCTCTAAGAAAAAATATCTAGATTCTCTACACTAAGGACTTCAAACAAGGCTAATAAGTAAACAATAAGGGATACATAAAAAAGGGTAGATCATTAATCTCATGGGGGAGCTTTCAGTCTTGGACGGAAAATTGCTCCTAAAACTGGGACTATATCAAATCCCACTTACGTCTCCAGTTCAGCAAATTTATTTGAAATGTCTTCGAATAAATCCTCCACTTTTTTGACAAATGAAGCCTTAACATCGTCAAAGTCTTGGGGCTTGGACGGCTGTAACAGATCAAAACAAATATCAATCATATTTAAGCAGATTCAGTACACAGGAACGTACAAAGAAAACTAGTAGCGAGATCCGCTTAGCATTCTCTAATAGTTTTATCGGCAGCGCACTGGTACTAGCATGACCAGTCCATAAAGCGTTTTTAAGGACGTCACGGCGGCCATATTGGTGTCAGTCATAAATCAATGAAAACGCGGCCATGTTGGTGTCATAAACCAATGAAAACGCGGCCATATTGGTGTCATAAACCAATGAAAATGCGGCCATGTTGGTGTTCCCAACCAATAGATGATGATGCATAGATGATGGCCACGTGAGTGAAAACGCTCTATGACAGTACAAAGATTTCTTGGATCAATACCGTACACTTCCCATCAGAGGCATATATATATTTAATAAAATCCAACTAGTGGTCTATTATCAATGCTGCGTTCTGATTGGCTGAGCTACTGCTAGGCTATATGTTATAGCCCACCAGTAGCGAAAAGCGCGGGCTTTTTGGCGCCAAGAAAGGATTAAAGTCTATCTTTAACTAGCTAAAAGTTTTTTATTCTCGATATTTTTTTTACCAACTAGTCGGATTTTACTAAAACAATTATTCCTCTCGCCCTCATGGCCTCTGAGTCAATAGCCCATTCGGCCTTCGGCCTCATGGGCCATTGACTCGGAGCCCATTCGAGCTCGAGGAATAATTGTTAAATATACTGGTTCACCAGCATAGCTTCATAAACATCAAAGGTTTAAAAACAGTGCCGGATCCAGACCTTGACACAGGGCGGGCAGTCATCCAGACCATTAGATAAGGAGGGGTGCGTCTGAAAAAACAATGTTTTCGACCCTTCGAGCCTCAGTTTGGTCTGATGGTAAGGGGAGCGGGCCCCCCGGCCCCTCCCCTGGAGCCGCCACTGGGTTAGCTGCCCGCGTTAGTCCGGGGCTAAAAAAATCGCCTGGCTATACCCATCACAAAATAAAGCAGCGAAGCTTTTAGCCTATGCTAGGCTCTCAGATAGCCAAAATAAAACAAGCCAAGCGATTTGAAACGGGCGTGATTTGCGCGTTTTTACTGCTACATTTTTATTGCACGACTGCAATACTCTCTTGGAGCTGAAACAGACTATGATGCTCTTACCTCGGTTATAGCAGGGAAAATGGGCCTGTACGGAGCGGGGACTGGTATCGACAGCTCGTACGTGCTCAGTGGGCCTGATGTATCACTGCAAAATGTTATGAAGAAAACAGCGATTAGTAACGGCAACAGGACTTAGTGGAGTCCAATAAATTCGGTCTGTAATCATACCAGTCATCAAAAAAATCGAACCACCGCGTAGCGAGAGTCCGATTTGTTTAATCACGAGTATGATTACCGACCGAATTGGACGACACGAAGTTCTGTTACCAATTAATCATAACTTTCACAAAATTTGTGAAAAAAAGGCTCTTATTTTAAATCAATTATTTTTTGCTAGCGGTGAAAAAAAAGCCATTTAAGCGCGCGCGTTATGGCGCGTACTGTCCAATTACATGGGCATGACGCGTGCTAACCTATTAAACTGTCCTATTAAGGATGAAATCAGGACAGTTGATAGCCAATAAGATTTGAGAATTTTGTTATAGTTATGATTACAAAATAAATCGTAACGGTTTGCGGAAGATTTCGTCACGATCGATAGTTGGCTGCATTGACCTATCCTAGTCCACTCCAGTGACATCACCGATAAAATACTATCTCAGAGATTTCAGTCAAACCCTGTTTGTTTCAGATTAGGGAGTTCAAGCAACAACGAAGCAAATAAAGACGACAAAAAATAACTAAGATCAGATTTATAGTTTTGCCTGGTTCCAGTCAAAAGTTGAAA